TCTCACTCCTCTCCAGCTGCAATTTCTCTTGCATAGGAGTGTTTTCCCCTTCTTAACTCTGTTATCCCAGAGGTGCTACCACTGTTGCTGCTGGGCTTGGCCTTGGCCAGCAGTGGGTCCGTCTTGGAGCCAGCTGGCGTTGGCTCCATCGGACATGGGGGAAGCTTCTGTCAGCTTCTTACAGAAGCCACCCCTGTAGCCCTCCCCGCTACCAAAACCGTGCCACGCACAACCAATACACACTGTCAGCTAAGACCAAGTTTCTTTGACCTTGGTTCAAGTGCTGACAAGACCCTGCTAGGCAGGCTGAACCCATCGTTACAGTGGTTATCAGGACTGACTAGCCATCTTTGGCTAGCTTTGATACCGTCTGCAGTCATGGTTGTCCAGTTCTCTGGGAAACACTCCCTGAGAGATGTGGGCTGGCTCCCTGTGGGTCACACCCTCCCACACAGCAGAAGGACCTAGCCAGCACTGGAGATCCCATTTCTTTCCTCTGTGTTACAGCCACTGCTGAGCACTGAGGTCTCTCCATTAGAGTAAGAAGTGCATATGACTTCAAATGCAGCCATTCTCGTCTGTCAGGGAAATTAGGCTCCCAAATACTGTTCTCCAAGGTCTGTCACACTCAAACTGTGACAGAAGCTTCAGCATGATGTCCTACATTAGCGAAGAACCCTTCTGTATGCAGTAAGGTAGTTAACGTTCAGAAATTGCACATCCCTTCTTGGATACTTCTCCATTGGATACCTTTCAGACTCTCAGAATGCCTAAGTGGGTCGCCTTGGCAAATGCATCTCCGAGACACAAATAGGAGGTTAGGGACTCTGACCTACAAGTCTTTTTCCTGAAGTCATACCAGGATTGACTTGCTTGCTTTGGCTATCAACCAGAGGAGCAAGAGCTCAGAACAAGAGGAAGAGCACTGTCCAGGCTCACTGTCTGTCCCTTTCCTTGTCCTCATGTCAGAGGAGTTCCTGCATGTCCCTCTAACTTTACAGGGACACTCAGAAGAGAAGGAAGAGGCTCCTTCCATCTTGTGGTTTGAATGCTGGACAGTATTCAGATGTAGAGGGGATCTCTCGATACCTTGACAGATATTCAGAGCAATTGGAGATAGACTTCTTCTAGAGAGACGTTATTGTCTTAGTCTTTGGAGCTGTCTACTTTTGACATGAAGACTCTCTCTTTTTTTGAAAGGTTATGCCAACCTATTCTTGTTTATTGTCATAGATATAAGTGGCCCAGGAAAAGTTAAAGTTATGAGTACACTTCAACAGAAGCCTCACAAGGGCAGGACAGCAGCCAAAATTGCCATCCATGAGATTTCCAGAAAGAGTATCTGTGACTACAGTCAAGTGAAGTAATTGCACACAGATGACTGCAATCTGCTAGAAATGAGATCTGTTGGAGCATCAGGGGAGAATTGCTCTTTTCTTTTGGTATAACCCTGTGTACAGTCTGTTCCATTTTTAAAATGCTCTGACTGAGATTTTCTTTCCCATGGAGAATAAGAAATGTTAACAGTTATTTAAATTGGAGGAATGATAGACTTTATTAAAATCTTAATAGGAAGATTTTAACTCTATTTACAGGTTACAGTAAATTTTTAGCACAGCAGTCAGGTCTATGTTACCTTAAAATAGAAGTTGTAATTCAAGACAAGGCAGGCTGATGTCTGGTACATCTGTCAGAGCTTTATTAAGCATCATATTTAAGCTTAAGATTTATCTGCCTAAATCTAGATGAGGCAAATTCTTCTGATTATGATCTGACGGTCTGTTATTGGACTCAAATTATTTTCAGGAACTTTTCACAACAATTTTACTCTGATTCTTGAGCAATGTTAACTCACGTTCCGTGTAACACATGCTTACCTTGGCTTATTTCAGATGAACTACCTTATCATTGAAGAAAACGTGGACAATGATCCCTGCAAGTTTGCTCTAATGAGTCGGGAAACATCAGAGAGAGTAATTTTACAGGCAGCTAATCCAGAAATTCAACAAGCTTGGGTACAAGACATCAACCAGGTCCTGGACACACAAAGAGATTTCCTGAATGGTATGTACATGGTCTTTGCTCTGTTTCCCAAACTGTGACACTAAATGGGATTTAGAATCTTTGTGTCTTTTGTTTCCTCTATGAGAAAAATGTTCAGCAACTTCTTTTCATAAGGTAAATCCCAAGGAGAAAACTAGCACAGTCTGCCTGTCATTAAGCCCTGGGTCAAGTGGTATCCACAGAGTACACGGGAGAGAGTCCTGATAATTTACAGCTGGTCTTTGGAAAGAGATCACCTCAGTGCCACTGTACAGAGGGCTCTGTCCTGTGTGCCAGGTCTGCCTGGTGGGAAGGTGAAGAATGGGAGAAGAGCAGGGCAAGTCTGATCTGAACTGCTGTGTGGTCCTGGAGTCCACTCTGTGAAGCTGCTGGAGCCTCATCTTGCATTAAAGACCAGGGGTCAATCTGGCCTGGCTTCATTAGCAGTATCTCGGGGACTGTTTTTGGCAGCCTACCTTCTCCCTGCTTAAATAGGTGACGGGTCCCTGTGCAATTGCCGTGCATGTATCAGTCAGGTTCATGTTCAGGTCTCAAGTCCCTCCATCAGAGGTGTGCCTTTGGTAGTACCTTTGTGCAAGATCCTTCAAAAATGCTGGGGTTTGCAGGGCTGTATCACCTGGTGCTTTCCATTCTACAGGGAAATTTGAAATCTAATCCCTTCCCAAGACTATGTCGAAGCCAGGTTGCCATTTTATTTACACAGTATCTCCCACTTATTCAGAGCAAGGCTTATCCCCAAGAACCTCCTATTCAACATCACCATGGGCTACAAGCTGAGGACATGAGGTGGGACAAAGGCTGCCTCACCACCTCACCCTTACAAGTCCAAACTCTGTGGGACAGCAGCTGCTTTCAACATAAAACAGAAGAGAGGGCAAGGAAACATCTGGGCTCTTCTTTCTCCTAAGAACCATGGGAGCTGTGCATGAACAGGGGCCTTTCCAAAATGTCAGCTTTGCTTTAGGAATAGATTTGGGGTGGTTTGAAATATTATTTCAAATTAAAGCCGTGTTTCTAAAAAAAACAGACAAAAACCCACATATGATCAACAGATCTGTGTATTTTGAAAATGCAGAGGAATCAAATCCAGTTAACAATTTTAGCTTGTTCTTGCTCATGATTGGATAAGGGAAAGAAGAAGAAACAGGACTAGAGGAAAAATCTAAAAATAGTATCTCTTTCGTTTGTTTAGAAGCAACAAAGAGATAATCATTACTTTGGATGCTTCCACAATTGTTTTGCACTATTCATTTCAGAAGAGCTTTTTTTAATGGAGCTTATATTAGAAAAGAGTTCTATATTTAAAAACTTAATGCGTGTTCAATAATGAAACTTATTTGCTTGAATCAAAATGTTTTGGCTTGGCACAATTTGTTAGCTTTTTAGATATCAGGTTGGTGTTCGGTTTTGTGGATTTTTTTGTTGCAAAATCTGAAGAGGCTCTTTCAGTTCACATCAAAACAAAGGTCCCCTTTTCTTCAACTTGGAGGTTTTAAAAATTTTAATTTAGCTTAGTTTTACTTTTCAGAAGTTAACTGGGAAAGGGTTACATGCAAAAGCTGTTTGTGACAATTTGAAAACTATGGCTGAGCTGAGAAGGGAAATGGTGTTTCACTTGTGATTCCAAAACTTGATACTGGGTTTTCATGACTTGGAATAGAAAGGGCCTCATACAACCACTCTAAAATGATTCCTTAAACACATTGGTGAGTTGAGCAGTCTAAGTTTTCCAGTTTGACCAGCCAGTACCAAAACTTGCCAATTTTGTGTCGGTGCAGTTGGCTTTGAATGAGGGATTATTGGAATAAAAATAAGTTCCATTAATGGTTAGCTACAGAAATATTTTTTTAAATCTTGTGAGAACTCCACAGACACTACTGCAGGGGTTTTCTGTCCCTTCCACATCTTTCTTACTCATTATTTTATTTTTGATACATTCACTCTTATCCTCCCAGGACTTACTGCCCTGTGAGCCCCTTTTTATACTGAAGCATCTTCATAGCCTCTATTTAGCCTATCTTCTGTGAGGCCAGCGAGGAATTTGATCAGTTAGGAACATAATCGTTAGTATCTCTAAAGCTAGAAGTAAAAATAGATTTATATTAAAACACAAGCTTAAGGATTTACTTTAAACCTATAAGTAAGATCCAAGAAAATGATATTGTATCCAGTGGAGCCTGTCCAGTCCAGAACAATTTAAGTGGCTTTTAGGATGTAATCTTATTGAGGCTGACTAATCTTTAAATTCGTTCTTTAGCTTTGCATTTCATTAAAGCGGATGTTTTCTGTCTTTAAAATGATATTAAATCCACACTGAACCAATGCTGCGTAAACTTAATAACAAAATATTCCCTGTGTGTTCTTGCCCAAGCTGTCTCTGATTTTCTGTCTTCAACAGGGAAACCCTAAAGAGTACGGGGCTACGTACAAAGCATAGTGTTTGCATTCGCAGCTCATAAATGTGAAACTTGGTGCAATTACACTATAATATTCAAGCTTTTCATATTTTTCCTTGGAAAAGCAACAGCTGCTAAGCTTGAGAAACAGACCGTACACTGAATGATTGGCTATAGTGACTGTTCTTTCGTTGTGCTTTAAGAAGCAAGCCATAAAGAAAATATGTCACTGATGGATAGATTTCATAAGGAAAATGCCATTGATATGTACTTTTTTTTAAAATCATGTTTTGTGGGGGTATTCGAGAAAGAGG